TTTGTGAGCTTTTTATGTCTATATTTTAAATAAAATGCTTTTACCAGTTCTTTTAGAAAATTTTGCGGCACATCTTTGAATAATAAGACTATAACAAAAGGGTTCGCATTCAATAGAGAAAACGTTTTTGACAAAAAATGAACCATTTATTTTGAACCACCCAATACTTAAAAATGATGTTAGCCTATCGCTATCACGTACGATTTTTATAATTTTACTATTGAATTTGTCTTGCTTAGAAGCCAGTTGCTGTATACGAATACAAATAATCTCTTTCGCTAAGTAAATGCGTAGAAAAAAGTATTAAAAATATATCAATTGGGAATACTGTCTCTGTAGATTAGAATGAAATATATTTAGTATTATTATTGTACAATAAATAGTAAGATTTAATAAACATTAAGCTAGAAAAATATCGCGGACGTAATACAACATAAGTAGATGTTGGTGTCAACAAGTAGGACTTAATTTGTTGTTTGATTGCAATGAATTACTTATACAACTGAAACAGTCCTTATTTAACAAAATTCATCATTGATTCAAGTGTGATAAATGAATCGTTTAATTCTGAATATGAAACAAAAACGCATCTTAATAAACATGTTGACTTAGAAATTTTAGAACATGTGGCCTACTAATCCATTTTTTCCAACTAGAAATCATATTCTAATCTTATTCAACAAATAAAAAATTTACTTTCTAACTAAAGGTAAAGTCGATTCGATTCGATTCATTCATCCTTCATCTGAATTCATTTTTCTGTTGTGTGTTCGAAATAGCGACACTAGAACACTTGTACGCTAAGTTTTAACTCATGATATACTACGTGTGAGTTATGGAAATATTTTGTGGATAGAAAAATTTTAACGAAATGCGACTTCTCTGAGGTGATACACCAACATGAATATGCTTTTAATGAGATAAAGAGCTGATAGAACCAACCATTGAATATTTTAGTGTGCTTGTTTTTTTTGACACCCGACTTAATTTTTAATAAACTCTGCAGTTCTTTATAAACGTATCTATAGCTTTTTAAACTTTTCGAACATTCAAGGATTACTTTTATTTATCTGTGAGAAAAATTTCATTATAAAATATTTAATAAAATCTTATTTTTTGAACAAAATAGATTAAAAAGAGAATGGATTCAAAAGAATGGCTAGAATACAGAAACAATATATAAGAAATTCAATTTATTGCATTAGTGGTTTAGGTTTGATGTCGAATACTTCTGGAAGAAACATGAAATGGCAATGAGGAAATTCACTATGAAAGAATGTCATGTAGAATAAACGAAATTAATCAACCGATGTGCATAATAAAATATAATGTTGGACAACAATAGTATTTTTTTTACACTGCGATAGTATATTTATTCATTGGACCTTGTACTATGCACACGTATATCCATATTTTTTTATCACTGTGTATGGATCTACATATTTGTCTTATAATATGATATTTCTTCTCCATTAACAAAAAGAAAATATTTTTCTACAAAATATTCGATAAAATCGAATGAAATGTTTGTACTATGAGATAACATATTGCATCTGTTATTGAATGTTTCCATACGAAAAAAAACCAGCACAACAATAAATGATTGAGTGATTGATTAAGTAGTATGATAGCCATCAAATTTATTGCTTGAATCAAATGAGAAACAAGAAATATAAAACTCAAATATATATATATATATATTTATGATGCATCTATCCTGTAAAATTTTTCATCAGTTTTCGATTGTTATATTTACATCAGCTGTAATATTACTGTTCTTAATGATTAGAAAAGAAAATTTTGTTGTTGTGAGCTAAGATGGCTTATGTCTGTGTCTGTTTGTTTGCTTGCCTGCTTGGCAACGATGCCTATCATTGGTCATATAGATGTATTGAAGCAGTTCTATTTGTTGGAAAAACGATACCTTCGAGAATGTAGACAGCGACTAACGCTTGAGAGTAATTACACGTGAGAGATATCTACAATATGCAAGCAATCAAATCTCTTGCGTGCACGCATATAAACTCAACTGAGCGAGTGGGTTGAGTTGCTTTTGTTTTTATTCATTAGTTAGGTGGTATTATCCATTTTTTGGTTTAGCTTTTCTTCACTTGCTTTCAGTTCATTGAGCGTAAAACATGAATGAATGCTATAACATGAAATTTTTATATCTGCAATTAATTTTATTAGGCCATACAGGTTTCGTTATCTAAAAAAGAGACAAAGTAACAGTAGGTTTTACTCTGTTCTCTTTCACTCTTCAACGTTTGTCTTACATCGAACAAACTTTATTATAGAATGAAAAGAAATTAGATCAATGAAGAAACACAATGATAATCATAATGCAAAAAATCTTCTTTTTCTCTTTTCTTGTCCCACTCAGAAAGACTTCTCAGCCATGCTATTCTGCACTTGTTCTTCAGTTTATTGACAAAGTATAGGCACCCTTAAAAACTTCAATGTTTTTATTTAATATAATTAATAAACCGTATGAACTAAATTGATCTTATACTTTTCGAATTGAAGTAAATCTCTATTTATGTTCAAGAATATAAAATATCAACATTGAAGATTAATATGACAATTTAATTCACACATGAATAAAGTAGTAATATTTGTGATCTTTCATTTCTTTATTTCTATCTACACTATCATAGCTATAGTCCCATGTTTTCCAGTTTGTTGACAATAACTGTTGAAATGATACTCTTCTGAAAAGTAATAATAATAATGATGATAATCATCATCATCATCGAAAAAGAAAGAAAGAAAGGAAACACACAAGAAAATTTTTCTTTTGATGATGAATTCTTCATGGACATTATTATATAAATGAGGACTATCTGCTAATCATCATTCCAAGGTCCAATATTGTGCCTAGACTTCTATTATTATTAATTGACTTCAACTCAAAATGTAGCTACCTTCTTTCGTATAATTCTACTAATTTCTTCTTCTTTTTTTCTCATTGCATCACTGACAAAAGAAAAGTGCTAGATAAGGTTAGACAAGCGATTAACAGAATAACACATTCTACAAGGCATAAGGTATGTCATAAAATATACTATAAGATACACTCATTGGTTTTTCTGTTCGTTCAAAAAAAAGAATCGAAAAGATCGTTAAGTGCAAAAAAAGCAAAATTATTTAGAAAATTAAATTAAATTAATTATTTTGCATTTAAAACATTAATTAGATTTCATGTGACAATACTTAGAGAGTATTTGGCTTTTGAGATTATCGATTAAGATTTATAAGAACCAACATGAAATAATAATAATAGTAACGATAACATTTCGTTTAACTAAAGCTCTTCTATTCGGAATAAAATCAAAAATAGTATTAAATTTGTTCGTTTTTTCTCAATATGTCTAACTTAGGTTTTTGTTCATAAGTATTTTCAAGTGCTCAATTATGAGATACACAATCGATAGAAAGACGAGATCATAAGTGTGTGTTCAACTGTCAGGCCCAATAAAATTGTGAGAACATCATGTGGCAATGTAATGATGTCAAGTTCTTTGATAACAATTAGACTAGTCTATTTTTCTTTTCCCTTTCTTCTTTTGGTTTCTCAATGCCACTATTGCCATCATTGACACGTTCTCCTAATTCCATTATATAGTATCCTACTTATTACCGCGTAGTCGTTGTGTCTACTCGTTCAAAGATGAATAAAATGGCGTTATGCCTTCGGATAATCTTATTTTCTTGCATTTTTTTCTTTTGTTAATAGACTATGAGTGTTTTGCATTTCTATCTCTATTTAAAAAAACAAAATTCGTATTAAGAGTTATTCCCATCGAGTGTACACATCCTTTAGTATATGGATCCCGTAGTGAATTTCTATTTTCCTTATCTAACACATTGATAGATTAAAAGACGTAGAAACCAGCCAACAGCTAAGAAATGATCTCGATAAAGAAAAAAAAAGATTCTGATCAATTATTAATGAGAAAAATCATCTGCTAAAGAAGTCCTTTTCTATTGTACTTCCCGATAATTTATTTTTTTTAACTTATAAATGAAAACGACATATATAACTAAGGATTTACTTTGATTATAAATTGCAGGTGACAACTTTATTTCTTCTTGTTTTTCCCTTTCGTTTTTTTTTATTTCTAGATTTAATGTAACAAGAACGATAGCATCAACGACTCTTGTTTACAATGATCTCGACCATTGACTACAATTGTGAACGTCGGTGACAATCGGTGGACGAATAAAATAGAAGAAAAGTACTTATCAATTCAACAGTAAGGAAAAGTGTCGATTGGAAGTAAAAGAGAAAAAATGCTAATATTTGCCTCTCTTCTCGCGCATAAGAGATCGCACAGAAATGCATTAAATAACAACATGTTCGATTAATGCTCGTTATTTCCTGATAAGTATGACATACATTGAACTTACAATGTCTAATAAAATTTCTATTTTTGTTCGTTTCAATTATAAAGTAATTTGAGATTTCATTTATATTGTGTTCGATTCGACAGATGTTGTTGAAAAACATTAGTACAGAACTAAATTCATCAATGGCGAGTCTGTCTAGTAGCAATTTTTTCAAGATAAAACAAGACACACTGGTTTACATACAATATACAATGAGCAGAGTTTTATCATTTTTTTCTCGATTTTTATGATTCGATTGTTGATTTTATGCAAACTCTTTAATAAAAAAAAATAGTTAGCAAATAAAAGAGAACATCTACTAATCGAATTATTAGAGTTGTCGATTGCAACAATGAGTTAGCTATAAAATACAAAGTCAAAAATAGTCATAAGACGATACACATGAAAATAGAAAAGAAGTTTGACAGAAAACAACTTCCAAACATCGTTTTATCTCTCCATTGTTGGTTCATCCGTGTTCATGTTGATAAGCTGCATTTGAAAACAAGCATATGATTATTCGCTACTCTCAAATGAATCTGATCGATTTTTCTTCGATCTAAAATAATGAATAATAAGTAAACGTTTTCTTTTTACGCTTTGTTTAGATAATGAAATCAAGTTCATTAGAATTTGAACGAATTATCTCCGGTGAAAGTTTTCTAAGTTTATCACATTCAAATACAATATTATTTAATCTTTCCTCTGCATCATCACCATTATCATCATCATCATCATCATCATCCTTATTTCAAAAAGATCTTAACATATCAACGTCACAAAGTGATTCGGTATCATCCTATGATCCATACCAACAGATAGCTGAAACTATCGTTTACAAATATATATGTTTAACTATATTCGTCATTGGTGTGATTGGAAATTCACTCAGTGTTCTTGTTTTTAGTCGACCATCATTACGACATCGTTCATGTGCTGTTTACTTTCTTGCTCTAGCTATTACCGACATAGCATCGCTGTGTGCTTCTTTTATTGATACCGTGCTTCCATCATACAATAATGTAACGTTAACTACAAAATCATTATATATATGTAAATTAAATCCATTAATGGTTTATTTTACAACAGATCTTTCAAACTTTTTATTAGCCGTTGCATCGATTGATCGAGCCGTATCGATTCAATGCCCACTTACTTCAACACGGTTTTGTCGCGCACGTATTGCTATATATATCATACTAGCTATGTCAGTAATATTTCTACTTATAAATGGTCATCTGTTTTGGGGTTTTGAAATCAGTGAAATAGATCCATCAAATAAAGTTTGTATGCCGTCAATACTGAAAAATGCCTTTAGTAATGGAAATAAATCAATAACTTATGATCGATTTTATGCAGTGTTTGATTCATTAGATATGTTATTTGCTGTAGTTATTCCATTTATTGTTATGCTAGTATGTAATATACTAATATTAATACGTGTTATAACATCACGACGATCAATTAGAGCAATAATAACAACAACGATTCAATCAAAAAAACATCGTAAACGACATGAAAAAGAAAAGCAATTAACTGTGATGTTACTTGGTAGCGCGGCGGGTTAGTTTTATTAATGGAATTGATTAAAAATAGAACAATATTTATATTTCTTTATCTTTCTTTTTGTAGCTTTTTTAGTATTTACATTACCAACGGAAATTAATGACACGGTACGTGCATTCCGTCCATCAAATATATCACAAACAAAAGGTGCCATGGCTTTATTGACAGCTATATTTATTGCTATGGGACAATTAAATCATGCGATTCATTTTTATATTTATACATTGACAGGTGGAGTTTTTCGAAATGAATTAATGCAATTATTGAACTTGTCGAGAGCTCAATCTCGAAAAAGTAGACGAAACACTACTGAGCAAGCCCTTCTTCAATCAAAAGCACCACAAAATAATATAACTACGAATAACCATGGATTTTAAATGAAATTTAAAAGTTACACTTTTTTTTATAGACTATAACGATTGATTTTGTTTTCACTAAAAGCCCTTTTACCTTTTCTGAATAAATAAACATCGACAAACAAAAGAACATCATATATCTAATAGAGTTTTCGGCTTATATTTTTTTCTATTCTACGAACCAATTTTTTTATAGTAAAATGATTATTGCTTTTTGTATCAATTGGTTTAATTTTGACACTTTATAAGCATTTCATTAAAAAAAAAGAATTTATTTAGAGTTATTTGAAATTTAATGAATCTGATATAAATTATAGAAGACAGTGATAATAATTATGACCATCGTTTTGTTTAATATTAATACAAGTGTAAAATCACATATAAGAGATTCTGTATTTCTAAAATAATCTTTTTTCAAATCGATTCTTCACTGCATGGATCATGCTGAAAGTATAGAATAAGATCTGGCCTGACATTGCCTATCAATGACATAATCGAAAACATAGAGAATCCGAATCGTAGTTCATTATTATAAAAAACAGAAAGAACTAAAACGATTGATCACGTCAGCACTACGTAGATTTATAAACTACAGGGGAAACTTAGTAATTATTTGCATGAATAACAACAAAAACGTTTTAGATTAAGGTGAAAATGAATTTCAATTTACTAGAAATCATTCTTAGCAACTCTAAATAACACTATATTATTGTTTAATATAATTTTAGATCAATTTAGTTATCTTTATTTCTTTCTAACTAGACTAGTGAATGTTTCAAGATCGATTCACATAGAATCGAGAGAGAAACGGTTTGAAAATATAGCCATAAAATCGTATAAAAGCGAAGTTTTTTTATCAGATAAAACTTAAATGGCTGTTGTAATCGAAAAGTTAACTGTTATGAAACTCCATATACCTCAGCTCTTTATTCATGAAAGAGGAAGGAAGGGAGACGAGACAAGAAACTGAAATAGTCGGGTTCTATCTATTAGAAGCAACTCTAAAACAGTTTAGTTAACCTAAAATATGTGAGAAAGAAAATTTAGTCTTCTTCTCTTCGTGATAATTGCACAAACGCAAATATTTACGATAGTGGTACAGAAATCTGTACTTCCATAGATTCATGTAAATGAAAACGAGTCATTCAAATGATGCTCTGTTTTTAAAGAAGCACTACGATTAACCGTGAGATTTCTAGTCGAAAAGTAAAAATTTTGAGAATATCACAAGAAAAGTTGATGACGCTAAAATTTCTGTAAATATACCAAATGTTGCTAATATCATTACAGTTCATAATGAAAATAAAAACAAACAACCATATTTGGTCAAAAACAAACAATCAAAAGAATCACCCAATATTTATTCAAGTACTTCCATCATTTGAAATAAAATCATTACATAATATGCTAAACTCATCATCAAAGTAAAAAACCACTACACTGATACCTATTAGAATAATATCTCTTCGTTTATTTTGAAACACTATGTATTTTTCATTGAATAAAAAAAGACTACCATATGCATCTTGCATTTCATAAAAAAGTAATATGAAATAGATGGAATCGTTCGATGAAAGTGAACGAATCATACTTTTTAAATCATAATGACATGTTTTTGATTAACAATAATTCGAAGAAACTTAATTTTTTATAGTGACGAATTATCCTTTATTTTTGTTTCATTTACTGAAGTAGATGTTTTACCGAAAATTTCTTTTCTAATTCTTGTTCACTTGAAGATTTCTTGAGATAAATTCGAAAAAAATACTCTTAATTTTAAATCATATTATCTATTAACTTTATCTAGTTTTGATGCATTTCTTTCGATTAATAAATTCAATATTGTACTTTTTTAAGAATCATTTTTTCGCATGTATAGTTCATTATTGATAGAGGTATTCGATGGAAATTTATTTTGTGTTTTGTTGTCCTTTTCTTTATTAATAAAACGATAAAGATGTTACAAATCAACGAGGAGTTTTCTTCTTTTTGATGCGTCTCAAATCAAATGTTGTTACATGATTAAAACAAGCAATATATATATTTTTTTCTTTTCATTTGAACTCTCTATTTGAGTGGAATAAAACGAGATGAATGTGTTGCACCAATACCAGGCCGACCATGTTTAACTGGCTTATATGTGATTGAAAATTCTCCTAAATAGTATCCAATCATTTCAGGTTTAATTTCAATTGAATTAAATGTTTTTCCTTGATGAACACCAACAACACAGCCGACCATTTCAGGTACAATAATCATATCACGTAGATGTGTTTTAATAGCTTGTGGTTTTTCTAATTCGGGTGTTTCTTTTTTAGCTTTACGTAAACGTTTTATTAAAGCCATTGGTTTACGTTTAAGACCACGTGATAAACGGCGTCGTGCACGACAATGTAATAATGGCATCAATTGTTCATTATTCATATCTAATAATTGATCAAGATCAACACCACGAAATGTAAATTTACGAAATGTTCGTTTCTTTTTTAATTCAGCTGCAGTTACACCAGTAGCATCTTGATCAGCCATGTTTATATTCTATGAAAATGGAGCATAAATAAGAAATAATTCTACCAAATAACTTACTTTTAACTTGTTTTCTTTTTAGTTTGATTGATTGAATAAATCAGTCGTTCACAACGACTTACACTAGAATATCTAGAATGCATGAGAATATTTATTATTTGACGAATTTTAGTTTTGAAAAAAAAAGAAAATGATATTTTTCTTCATTATTCGTTTATTTATTTTATACAATTGAAAAACCAGAGAAAAAGAAAAGAGAACTTTCTTGTAATAATAGAGTATGAAAAAAAGAGATTGAGAGAAAGAAGCGGCGACACTGCAACGCAACGAATATCGTAATTCAGAAGACATACACACGAGATACACACGCGAAAGAAAAAAGAAATCGAGTAAAAAAAACCGAGACAAAAATGCTAAAAGCGATAGACAAATATAGAGTCAGATCGAATACTAGACACGCACTTTTGTGCAGAGTCAATTTGGTGGCTATAGTATGATGGACACCACTGATGAGTATTGCTGGTATTGCTGTTATTCCAAGAATCGAACAATTTATAGAACGAAAAAATGAGAAAGATTAAGACACAAAAATCAACGATCATGACAACAAATAACAACATAGAAAAAGATAGACTAGAGAGCAGCAGCAATAATACGCGTATTGCATAAGTATAAAACAGAAATGAGTTATGTATATATGACAAGACAGACACAAAAAAGATTTGAGCTGCCAGTATACGTGTCACTGTTGGTTTTAAGTGTTTACTCTGTCGAACACGTTCAGAGATACATAAACAAGAAAAAGATAAATTGAACTAGAGGAAACAACTCGAGTTTGACTTTAAACATGCACACTGTACGAGAAATACTCACACACACATGAATGAAAGAGAAAAAAAATTAAACGGCCATTCTAATATAATGTTGTAGTGTGTGAATAAGAGAATAAAAGACACGAAAATAATAATAATAATAATAATAAAGGAAAAAAAAGAGGAAATGAGAGAATAGAAAGAGAGCCACATGTCTGTCTGTTTGACGACTAACGAAATTTTATTTTGTTATTTTCTTAAAATTGTTTCGATTATTTCTTCTAGACCAAATTGTACTCTTTGAGGTTCAATTGAAGTATCGTGTCTTTAACAGCAGCAAATACAAAACGGATATTTTCGGTATCTAAATAAACACCATTTTAGAAGGTTTTACTACTCAGGGCAAGGATGGTACATTTTGTGCTCATTGGAGATATTATGATAAATAATTACACCGCTCGGTTAAATCTCTTTATCTATCTCCTCACACCACTGCGCAAGTTAAAATTGTCATCATTGTAGCAAACACTTACCAGTTGCACAGGTAAAATGTGAATAGATAATCTTATCACTATCTGGATTGAGATCGACATACATTTTTAAAATAAATTCTCGTGCAGCTTGGGCATCACGTTTAGGACCTTCAAAAATAAAAAAACGTTTCTACAATAATAAGTATTTCATTAAATCTAACCATCAAATTCAGGAAAATAATCGACCAAATGCGAATGCATAATTTTTTCTTCAAGTAAATCTTTCTTATTCAAAAAAAGGATCACAGATGAGTTCGTAAACCACGGATAAGTTATGATCGTTCGGAACAATGCTTTACTCTCTTCCATTCGATTCTAAATATTATCAAATCATTCAAAAATAAGCCGACATGATTTTCGTTGCTATTTTACTTCATTGTCTGATTCAACAAGGACTTGATCATATTCGCTTAATGCTGCAAGAAACATAATTGAAGTGACATTTTCAAAACAATGAATCCACTTTCGACGTTCAGATCTTTGACCACCAACATCAACCATTCTATTTAAATAGAAAATTCAATATTTAACATAATCATCAATATAAATATAAATATCTACCGGAAAATAATATTTTCAAGATCAAAAGGATATTCGATAATTCCCGTTGTAGGTACTCGTACCCTTAACACATCTTGTTCTGTCGGTAAATAACCTGGAGAAGCAATTCGATCAATACTATCCAGATAACTAAGAAAAACAAAAAGTGTTTTTTTTAATTAATAAAAAAAATCCTACTATTTGGCTGAATCAGTTAATTGATATTCTCTTCGTCTATCATAACACTCTTTTATTCCTGGATCATTCCAAAGACTTTTAATAGCTTCGACATATTGTGGCTCGAATGTTGTCACTGTTTCATAATCAACTGATCTTACAAGGGCTGCATGTTCGTGCTACAAAAATAAATAAGTAAATAAACAAAGTCAACTCAAATTTTATATCGAAAATATCACCTCATTTCTCTTATCTCTGTATTGTATTTTGAGCGTATCCATAGCACGAATCATTGAATGCATCGCCATGAATATATTTTGGTAAACAAGTTTAACAAATGAACGTTTATCTTCTTCAGAATAACCTGTACCATGAATAATACGCATTTGTTTTATAAATGTTGATTTACCAGATTCTCCAGTACCTGCGAAAAAAAGCGGTTCTAATTTATTTATTTTTTCTAAATCAAAATTACCAAGTAAAAGTAATTTTAATTCCCGTCGTTGGTTCTTTTTATCGAGACGTAATTGTTTTTCAATTTCACGATTAATTTGTTTTTGTTCACGTGCCTCAGCAGACAAACAGCACATCATCTTGATAATTTTTTAATATTTGTCTATATTTTGAAAATTCTATCGATATGAACTAAATTGACTAGCGGATAAGAAATAAATAAAGAATGATGATCATCTGCTTGTAACGTTTTCGGTTGCTTTTGGAAATAGATAAAGACGAGTTAATGAAGAATTTGTATTATTTAATGAAATTGGACGTTTAACGAGAGACTTCATACCATCTAAAAAATATTATCGATAGATTTAAGTTACTGATTGATTGAGTAAATAAACAACAGACCACCATCATTATTACATACATACACACAGAATGGAAGGAGAAGAAAAAAACGGAAAAAAAAGAAATCATGGAGGACTGATTGAGATTTTCTATACATTAGACGTTTATGCATTTACAAGTTATTATTGTAAGTGTTAAAATTTTTAGAAAAAAAATTTATTTTTTATATTATTAAAATTTGAAAATTAGTATTCAATATTATTATTTCATTGTAAAATACGAGTATTTATGAGTTGGACGAAGAAGTAACCAATTGGAAACACTTCAGCAGGACAAGACAAGACAAAGTTTTGTAAGTAAAAAGCAAAATAGGTAGAACACCAGATACTTATAAAATACAAGCTATTGCCATAGCTTAGACGAATAAACAGAATGAAATGCGTACTATTTGAAGGAGATATTTACATTTTGATTGCAGATAGGGTTATATTCAAATAATAGTGAATAATCACTTCTTTTGTTTGATCTTCTCATCTACCAGAGATAAATTCTCTATGTCTGCTTACGTGCATTGTTTTTACCTTCGTATTATGAGAAAAATGCAAATTTTTTCTATTTTGTTACACTTTTCCAATGGGAGCGAAGTGTATGGATAAAGTTTGTTAATAGAACAAAGGTGTAAAAAAATATTGTGTATTCAATTTTCATTGTAAGAGATGATAGAGACCAGTGACTGAAAACAATAAAAAACATGAATTCAATGAATATTTTGTTCATTTCTAGACAGTTTTACAATGAGTCATCGTTCGTATTTATATAAACAATGTGGGACCCATAACTAGCTCTATGATAAAAAGTTGACATATTTTCATTCCGATCTAATCATTTGGGCTGAATTGTCTTGTTGATGGTAAAAACTTAGCCAACTTCTTTTTGAGAAATGGACAACATGTACCAATACAATTATCAAGTTAGATCACTGATTTCACTGAAAGAAATTCTATCTGCTGCCAAAATATAAACTAACATAAATTAACATTTGGATAATATTTAGTGACTAGATAAGAACAGGAAGCAACTTTTCCCCTCCATATAGTTTTGTTTCACGTAATAGTAAATTAATAAAATTACACATTTTAGCAGATAGGACTTGAAGTTTTCTACATCCTCAGGTACACAGCAGTAGTTTTTGCAAGGTAACTTAGAAATTCGGAGACTCATATTGGTAAAATTACGCCGTTGAATCAGCTGAGCGTTCAGATTAACTAGTTCTGAAAATTTTGCTTTATATGTATTACTTTTATACTATTGATGAAAATCATTTTTTATTGATTTTAGTCGTTGTTTTGGTGTAGAATTGAAAGTATCATAATATTGATTCGTATGTCCTTTCATTTCATGACAATAAATAGAGTTTCTATTAAAATGATAAATCATTTTATTCACAAATAATGTTTGCTTATATTATCCAATTTCAAAGAAAATCTGAATAAGACTATTACTAACAAATATAATTGAATTGAAAACAAGATTTACCTAACTTCCATGATAGAGCTGCTGATGACCTATTTTTCTTTTGTTTTTTGAAAAAGAACTTACGAATTAATATGATAGCAAAATAGGACATCTTGAAAATACTGCAACATGGTGCATAACAATATTTTTCTGTCTTACATTTCCTTTAAATTCTATTACGTTTAAAATCGTGTGATGTTCAAACGCGTTTTTTTATGGAAATACGTAGGAAAGTCTCCTCTTTAAGAATGATTTTACATAAAGAGACTTGAAAAAAACAAGATTTTGGCAGATTGTCGGAAGACTTTTTTCATCTAAATATCTCACATACCGAGAGATACTCGCAGATTTTCGGAATTTCAGCTTTTTCTTGAATATAGATTTAAGTAAGTTTACATTGATTTTTTGATCAAATAAATTGTTCAAATATTAATTCATCATCCTTAGTATTCATTATCATCTAATGAATATTTTCATACAATTCCCATAAAATAGTTGATTTTAGTTCATAGCATTGGATATTTCTATAAGAATATTCTATTTTGACATATTATAAACATGTCATGAGCATGGAAATTTTTCTAAATTTCAATAAAAAGCTTCATTTAGAAAATTGTTTACCGTTTTGTCTCAAAATTTCTTAATGTTGCTTTTAGTTTTAAAAGTTTAAATGACAATAAACTTTCTAATAAACAGATTTTTTTCATAATTGATTGCTGTGTTGAGAAACATTGAATTCAGCGTTTCCAAGTAGCATTGTTTTGATTATTGAAATGTCACGTTTTATCGAAAGACTATAAAAATGGAATAGTATTCATTTTCAATATTCTGCTCAATAGAAAGTACGACACCGATATACGCTTTAATTTTGAACTACAACGAGTTCGGCTCCTCTTGTAATAACATAGTTATAAGAATGTTTTGGATGCCCTGAAATGAACTATCTATTAGATGAAAATTTGTCTAACTTAGCATATCGAAATGAAATTTTTATTTGGAATGTTTCTGGCTAAAGACACTCATTTCTCATAGTCTTAGACCGATCGGACCATCTCAAATAGTAGTCTATCGTGATCATTAAGATGAAAAAAAATATCATAGTGACGTGTTGTAACTATTTCACATTTGCTGAAAAATAGATGGAATAAATCTTTTTTTCTTTAAATTTTGCCACGTTTTGATTGTTTGATAATAAATGCTTTTACGTATTCAATTCCTTGCAAAATCATCTAATGAACTTAATTCGATTCAATAAGAAAGCTATCGGTGTTCGTTCATAGTTATTGACAAGTCTCTAGGTTTTCTACATTCTTTTTGATAAGCAATTGTTATGTTACGAAGATCTGTAACTTTTGTCGTCTCAAATAATTATCAGCAGAATTTGAAGGACACTTTCATGGAAAAGTACCAAACGATTCCACAACGAATGTTTGCATGACAAGGATTTAAGATTTTATAATATTTTCATGTTGAAATATGTTCAAAAAAAAATCTACTTTGATTTCATTTTTGTTTCTGCCAAAATAATCTGACATTTTGAGTATCAGATGCTAATTCAATTTTAGTCTCATTAGAATATCATATAGAAAATTTTGATAGAATTCTTCATCTTTATTCTTCAAGAGGATTTTGTATGTCCCGAGTTGTGATTTTCATCTGTATATCTTTTACTTCAAATTTAACGTGGTACATTTATGTTACATCAAATGTACACTTTCGAAAAATATGATTTTAAAATCTACTTTGAAAAGATTTAGACTAGACTAATACAGCTTTCATTAATGATCATCATTTGTAAATATACAATGGTTTGCAAAAAGAAACTTGGAACAAATCTTTAATGTGTGCTAGGGGCTAGTTCAACTGTTTTCAGAAATATATATCTCGATTTAAAAGATATCAGTTCACAGCTGTGTAATATCTAATTCAATACATGATTCATTCTTCGTTTGATTCTATAATCAAAAGACACCCACCTCCTAAGCTATTAGTCGAATTGGTTATAAATTTTTCAGTTTAAATTTTTAAGAAAAATTAAATGCCATGCGACTTTTGCGGTATAAACAACATATTCTTCTTATTCACGATAGTTTTCAAGAATTTTTTTTCCATATAACTTGATTATCTCGTTTAATAGGTTGGCCTTAGTTTCGGCTCTATTGGGTATGAAGAGCAGATTTCCAACCATTGAATGCTCGATATTTTAGACAGCTACGAGTTCTGATCTTATTTAAATAAGCAACTAATTATACACAGTAGTATCTTTTTATATCGGTGAATTTTTCTTATAGAGCTAATTCGGATGTTCCAATAATGTAATACAGAAATGTTATGTTATTTGAGAAAACTCGTCTTTGTTATATCAGATTATTGTTATATCAAGATACAATAGAAGTTTATCAAATATATGAAGATTTTTAGTAGATCATCTGCCTAATATAAATCTAAAATAACTGCAAAAGAAAGCCTCAAGAGGGTCTAGAAAATATTGAATGTTCATAATGTCAGACTGTTCCAAGCGTTTTTGCAAACCATTGTATATATACTCAAGTTTTTTGAACTAATAAGCAGTTGCAATTTATTTGAAATAAAAATCAAATAAAACAAATATACTTTTAGACTGTTATACACCGGTATACAGATCGATTTTTGCATATTCAATTTATGACTCAACAGATCAGTAAGAAACACAAAAGGCCAATATAATAATACATGGGAAAATTTTATTTTAAATAAAATCTAATGGAACTAATTAGATCAAATATAGTTAAAATCAAATTGACCAAATTTTCAATGAAGAAAAAATGCGAATAAATGAATAAGCTAAAATAAGCAATTTCAATGCGCCTTTTTTTTCTCAACTTTCAAACTCAAGACACATCTAATCGAATTTGATTTGTGTGTCGAAACGATGAAATTATTTTGTGATTTACTCACACGTCGTCGATCAAATAAGAAAAAGCAAATAATAAACTCAAAATCGTCTGCTAATAACATGTCACCAAGTCATGGTATGCAATCTATTAATCAATATTAGTCTTTCCGTTCTCAATTCAAAATTTTCTCTTCGAGGACATGAATATTTCTGACAACGCTTTCGTGTTATCTTGTTTAGAGTTAATGACAATATTGTGATCGTTTTAGGTAATACTTCAAATTGTGTTCAAACATTGAATTTATATGATAAACAAAGCAAATGTACATGCCATTACTTTGTAAGTCTTTCGTTTTGATTTAATCAGCTATGAAATCATTTAAAAGAATCTTAATGGTAATTACGTATCAAAAAGCATGCATACTAAACTAATTGCAAGTCATCCAATACGCTTTTCTTCTTTGTCTTCTCAAGCATCAATAATAATGTTTGCATTTGCTTATTTTTTTAGCTAAGTATAACTGTTTAGGTTCTGATTAGGTCTTCTCTCGAATATACTTCTCATGTCAAATATATTTTAACTACAGCTGACTTTTATTTTTGCTACGATGTTCGATCTGCATTATTAGATATCATAGATCGTGTTGTGGCAATGGATGATGTTAATCATCTTATTCCTGAAAAAAAGGCTGCAACTATGGTAAAAAACTGTCTACCTAACTCGAGTACAAACAATGTAAAAGATCGGCGATCCCAGACTTCAATTGCTATTCAAACATCATTTGATTATGGACAACGACGAAATGCTAAAGTTCAAACAAATACAGTGACATTTTCTCCAGTACAAAGTCAGAATCTATCTTCTTCAAGATTGTTTTTAAATTAGCTTTTCCTTTTCTCTTGCGATGCTATCAAGATAAAAACATTTTTACTTTATGCTCGAAAAGATAATTCTATTCATATTGATATATCATAAACGTCAAACTTAATCATCAAAAAGCGAAATAGATTAATGTGAATGAAGTTCTTGATAATAATTTAAATCAACAAATCATACGAATACTTACATTTGCACTGCCAATTATAGTTATAATATTGCTATCAAGTTGACCTTTATAGTATATGATTATGGGCTTGTATGACTGACACTCACGGCAAAATAAAATCAGTTCTATTGTATATCGAGAATAGCAAACATTAATTCATTTGCAGTATAAATCAAGACCAGGTTTTTTTCATTAGTCTTATCAAATAAGACATTGTTTCCTACTGATCTGAACTAGGTCATTCCTATTTCTTTCTATTAATTAATACAGTTATATTTTGCTGTATGAGGGGATCACCCTGTGACGGTACAAGCGTCACTGATGTTATCTTAGTGCCTGTTTGTTTCTTTTTCTAGCTTCCCTATCTTTTTCTCTTGTTTGTTTTTACGCCTAATATTGTTAATTCATTATTCTTTTTCTTCTCTTTTTTCTTCAAGCTTCTTCATATATCTCTTTTCACTGAGATATTACCTATACTTATTCTTTCAACATGCTTCGCTCATCATTCGAGCGTATCTTCTCTAGCTACTATTTTTCTTCTCTATCTAAAAGAATCATCTTTTTGATTAATTCCATATTACCTTTCTTTCTACTTGATTGTTCCTTACAATCGTTCTAACTCGTGCCAGCTACTTGCTGGTGGAGTTCTTCTTATTCTCAAGTATTTCTGTTCATTGAATAAACAATTGGATCTTCTTTCAATATTCAATAGTATTTAATTTCCATTGCTGTAATTCTGCCATAACCAATACTATGGCACCTGGCATTTTTATTAGTTGCCTCTCTAATCCTTATCAAGGCGTTACACACCCTCTCAGTATTTAGTAACAACAAAGTGAGCTATTTCAGAAAGATGAGTACGCATTAAGTTGATACTTTTTTGATCGGAGACGGTTGATAACGTTATTGGAAGTAAACTGCATTATAATATCGTTGATAATTAGACATTGTTTTGGTTAGAACACTGGCATTCGATGTTTGCTAGTTATCTTCGTAGGTTTCAAATAATTTGCAAGCAAAAAAAATTATTTGGTTTTACATCAAGATTGACAAATAGTATCATTTTGATAAATATAAGTAATAAAAAATATTCTTCATTCTCTTTCACTAACAAAACAACGATATTTAATCAATAATACAATAGTTTGCTATTTTCGTAGAAAAATCACTGCAGACATGCTTATACCCGCCACACCTAAGTATTTGGTATTTTATCTGGATCAATAGATATCTAATTCTACCTTAGTCTAAATTAGACATGTGCCTTAAAGGTATTGTATTACTAGTGCTTATGGTACGACATAATAGTTTCTTTTCTTTGCCTAACGATGGTACCACTCGTTGCTGTCTTTCATAATATCATGTTCTATGTATCTCTCTCTGTCTTTTACCATTTTCTGTTTTGTCTCATGTATTATTAGCGAGCTCGAGATTTCCCTCTCGTTTATAATGTGCATATGCATAGATAGATCGAATAACAAACACACACACACATATACATGTATATATATATATATATATATATATAAAGAGAGAGAGAGAGAGAAAAGACAGACAAACAAGAAAAAAACTCTCAAAGATCTATCAACACTCATTTATCAACAGCCAACATAAAGAGTAAAGCAAGTTTTTCTTCGTAGCTGCATAATAAATATAGAAAAAACAAAAGCAAAAGCGAAAAAGTCTTGATCTAGACTCAGCATTGAGAACAACCGTACGAAGTGGACGAATGAATTCGATCCATTTATGGGCGGCAATGCACATAATACTATAACAACACATGAACAAGTTGTCCACCAGTCTACCGCCGGCAAGTGTCACCGATTGGGTAAGTTATTCTTTTCAAAGCTGTTCAATGAAACTCTCTAAAGTCTGTGATCAAACTCGAGTTAGATTATCCTTCGTGATGAATTTGACTTTTGAAACAAATTAGCACTAGCTATATGAATATAAAGATATCTATATGAAACTGTTGGTATTTTGTCGATTAGGTTTTTGAATGGTAACATGCGGATGCCTGCTGTTTTCATGTTTTCTTTTCTGTTGTTTAGGAATGTCAGATAAATCACAAAAAATGTGACATGTAGTTTTTTTCCCAACGTATGTAGTAACAATAATTACTACTCTATCTATTCTCAATTTATAATAAAATATATTCTATATAGAACTTATTTATTTTCTTGATGCTTCTTGCTAAATAACAAAAAGAATATTACAGTTTATCATTCATATAATGCAAAAAAAGTTAATCGAAGGAACTCATTCGATCGAATAAAATAAGTGTTTCGTTCATTTACTGTTTTCTTTTTTGAATCGTCATTCAGAGACTATGACACAAAACGACGACATCACTGTATAGTTTCCTGATTGTTATTACGTCTGCTCTATCTGTTTTTTCTTACTGTTTAGTAATAATGTCATTATCATTTTTCTTGACGAAAATGATGGATTGTTGTTCATCATTGCTAAGGCTTTTTTTTCTAACTGCTTTGTCTCGACTAATTTTGATAGGCTGACAATCTTCTTTCTTTGATGATTACCAGTGACATGTGTAGATAAATGCATCAATGAAATATTTTTTCTTAAATGACCATGAAAAAAACGTAACAGCTGTTTCTCTCACATTTCTATTTAGGAAAAAAAGAAGAAAATGATCTTAAGTCAAAGCTTTGTATAAAAATACTTTTACAGTCACCAGGTGCTATTTTTTTTAGAATCGAAATTTATGAAAATATTCAATGAGAATATTGCTATATATTATTGTTATTTTATATAAGATAAGATAAGAGACAATAAAGAATGTAAATGCTGACTTATAAAATCATCGTAGAATAGGAAACTGTCTATTCTAATATGTTTTGGATTGCAAGGGACGAAAGATTGAAGAAAACTAAATGATTACAGATCATTTTTTATCATTTGCTATGTAAAAAGAATGTCAATTGATTACTCAACGTGTTGGCATGATAAGATTAAGTGGTAATTAGATATTTCTTGTCTTGCGGCTGAGGAACGTTCTTGTATTGTTCTCGTGTTTTCATTTATTTCTATTCAACCGTTTGATTTATCTTTTCTACAAGAATAAAAACGGAACTAGATCGTTGTTACGATGTATTCATATGAGGCACCTGCTGCCGTTACTATAGTTCGTTACTAATATCGGTTAGTGATAGCTTCAAAGTAACGTCAATGGCAGTATTTCCTTTCTCTTTTTATATCTCTTGCTTTTTTTTGAAAAAATATGTGACACTTACATGCACAGTCTTTTGTAAAAAAAAAGAATAATGACGCTAATCGAAATACCAATCTACGTCAACAAGATGAAAAAGAAAAACCGTAACACATGCAACAACAATTGATCGGTGTTTCATCGATTTTCTCATCAATCATTAGCATTTTAAAAATGAGAATAAGTATCATTCAAATAATATTCTTACTTGGATAACAGACAAAATAGGTCCGTGCTATTCAATTTACCGAAGCAGTTGTACAGCTGATAAAGCAACTACTGTTACTAGTAGTTATCATTCTGAACGATCAATGTTGGCTAAATGTTTTTATCAAACATTTTGCATAGCATGTATTCCAGAAAGTATTCGAGGTAATCAAAATATAGACCAACAAATATCTTCGGATCTTCTCTATGCATATGATCCATTACAATTTAAGGTACGAAAGAAAAATTAGTACATTTATTTTTAAGATTTATTTTGGGATTAATTATTATCATTTATTGCAAAAAATCTTCGATTTTTTATGATAGCAAAGTCAAAGTGACCACACTTAGATTAGCTTAACATAAGTAGACACGTTTGAAGTTGAGCTTTCTCTAGATAGATGCAGATTGAATCTTCTGAATGTTTGTTAGTATCTATTCGTTTCTGCTATCTTGATATTGTTGTATAGATATACTGTTTGATCTGTTTCATATGAGGTCAACTCATTTTTAATAACTTTGTTGGTTTGACGTAGACATTCTATTATAGTTATATATTATTATCTATGGGCATATTCTATTTGTTGATTGTTTAATTGATGTTCCAATTGTAGATGAAATTAAATTTTATCATCAAAACATATATGTTTTCCTTTGTTTCTTTCTCATTCACTCACAGAAACTTAATAATAAATCTTCGTTTTTTTTCAATGTTTTTCTGTTAATCTCATCAACATTTTTATCTTCGAGTGCATAAATATTGATTTTTAACAAGTGATGAAAATAGAAAAAAGAAATCTTCTGTTACATTGATATATCAAAGGTTTACTTCATAAAACATCGATGCATTTGTGATAGACAGAGACCATTTTCTTGTGTGAAATTTTGACACAAAATTTCACACAAGAATTGCTAGTTTTTGCCCGTTTAATTTTATTTGGATTTGTTTTAGCTCGAGCATTTCACAGAAGAACAAATTCAAGGTAAGAATATGAGTAAGATAATTTCTAAACGATGAGAGATTTTTTATTTTTGTAGAGTTTCGACAAGCGTTTCTTCTTTACGACAAAGATTCAGACGGTGCCATTAGTCCCAAAGTGCTCGGAAGTGTAATGAGAACACTTGGGCAAAATCCCACAGAAGATGAATTGAAAGGATTAATCAACGAGTTCGACTGTGAAGGTTTGTTCATTACGTTTTATATTTCATTTTCATTTTTAATTTAATTTCTTTTTTGTAGGCAAAGGATTAATCGATTTTAATGAGTTTCTTCAAATGATGGCTAAACGAGCCGATGAACATAACGAAGAGGATGAACTAAGACAAGCTTTTCGTGTGTTTGATAAGAATGGAAATGGTTTTATCAAGGTAGCTGAACTAAGGTAATGGAAATATTTACTTTTATCAAAAGAAACTTGGATCAATTCTTCTTTTTTTAGGAATGTGATGACTACTCTGGGTGAACAATTTTCCGATCATGAAGTAGACGAAATGCTACATGAAATAGATATAGCTGGTAATGGAATCATCCGTTATGAAGGTAGATTTTTATAATAAACTTCATTAATTACAATATTTCGTTGATTGATATATAGAACTTGTTAAAGTTGTTATGGGTAAATAATCATTGAATTTATTTGTCGCGCACGCCTGTGATATTGATACAATTGATTTTCCTGTTTTCTTCTTCTATAGAAACGGTTGAATATACTTGTAGAGTTTATATCAACTCGCGTTTCATGCTCAGCTTTACTCATTGACATGCCTCAAACAAAAACAATCATGTGTATACGTATATTTTATGTGTTTAAAAGATTCTGCTCGTTGAATGACTTTTTCCTTTTTTGTATCTGTTGAATTTTGCTATTTAGTTCTTTTTTTTGTCTACAGAGGTTCAATAAAAACTCATTGTATTGAGCTCATTGATAATTATGCTTCTTGATTTTTATCAATTATGCAGCTGAAAGAATATCTAAAAACTCAACATTATCTACTGTAACATAAAACATTTATTGCAAAAAATGAAAAGGAAAGAAAAAAAGGAAATGCCCAGAGTAATAAAAATACAGAGTAATTAATATCAGTGAATAATTTTTACCTCGTTCAGCAATTTTTCCAATATTTATTGATAATTAAAAGTTGATTAATACATATCTTTAAGTTAAACTTTAGTATTTCAGCTGAATTTAGGATGCTATTGTAATCATATCGATTTTCTATCTCAATAAACTATTAGGTTTTTATTGATACAAAAAAAGAAACATTTTATGTTTATTATACAGTAAGAAATTAAGTAAATATTTATAAGAAAAAGATTGGATGTCTATATTTATTATGATCATTGATACAATTCTATTTTATTTATTTTCTTTGCTTTTTTTGCTTGCCCTTAGCAAGTCTTAAGTCGTCGTAACGAGCAATATCATAACTATTAGTTTCAGATGCTGATTTATTTTCATTCTAGAAGAAAACACAACCTACTTTAGTTGATTAAGACCAGCACCAATAGTAGTCTTACTACTATTCGTTTCATATTTTAATCTATTTAACTGTTTAGTGAATAGATTTGTCTACCTCATCTACGCTGAATACATATATGAGTAGCTGCTCAATTGTAACTGATGTGTACACGTTTCATATTCATTGTCTCATGGCATAAAAATAATGCTGTTTTTAGATAGTAGTATTTAAAATTGTAACTAAATGAGCAGATTAAAAATCAAACATTAAAAAGACACTTTTGATTTTGATTTTGATTTTGATTTCGATAAGATAATAGAATAAGAATTCATCGTTATGTGTTCACATGGAAATGAGAAAATGAGCAACATATTGATCTGATTGTTCGCAATGACCAACAACTGCAGCACAGTACTAGGACAGAAAGTAAAATCCGGTTCTATGATATTTTTCTTTACTATTGATATAGATGATATTTGCCGTCATGGGTTACATTTAATATTTACTATCAGGTGAAGTTGTTATTAAGAAATTTCAATAAATATTGACAAGAGCGCCTGATTAGGTACATGAAATAAAAGGAAAAATCCGATAAATTAATGAAGGATACAGAAGGTTTTTTGGTGACAGAGCGAAGCATGATGCAATCAAATATAAGTCCAGATGCCACTATGAAGTAACATATAATAAAGTAGTGATGAACAAGAAGAAGATAATTAACACTAAGATAGTAATATAGAGACGAACAGAATAATTTGAATGAATGATATGCGTGACTGTAAGTAATAGTGAAACAGAAGTAGAATACATGACCACAGATGTGTATGAAGAAGAAGGAAGTGAAAGATATGAGTATGTTTAGAAAAATACGAAGGAGGAAAGATTAGTAGCTACAGTCAAAAAATATATATGCAAGTTGACTTTGAAAGGCAACTGGATTTTAAAATCAATCTCATATATATATATATAAGCACAAAGGAAAATTTAGACAAGCAATTATAATTACAATACGAGCAAATATATACATAACAAGAAGAAAAAGAAAATGTAGATGATAAATAATAAGTGGTTCATAATATTATAATAAATTGAACAAGGTATCTACCTCTGCTTAGGTTACTTTCCAAGACCACGGAATCGCTGTTTTCGACTCATTCGATAAAGAGTTTTTTGCTCTAGAAAACTACTGATTTTATTTTTCAAATCAGTCTTTGTAGTCGGCGAAAATGTAAAAAGATCAGCAGGTATTCAACTACTATTTTCGATTATTTTCCATGGGCATCTATCGATTCGTGTCATTCAGTACTCACCAAGTTCAATGCTAAATGTAAAATATTCAGTATCAATCTATAAAGAACTTTTTGGTTATATAATTCCAAGATCTTGTAAAGTCTTCTCATAGTTTAATTCAGGTGGCCAAGATTTGGAACATAATATCTTATGATTAGAGATTTGTGGGACCGCATTGCTTGGTCTCTATCTCGGTGAGTTTACCTATTCAATCGTCTGTACCTATTTAGAAAGCCATGTTGCAGAATTTCTTTGTCTAACATTTAAAATGCTTTTTAACACTTGTATTATTTATTTATTTTCTAAAACTGTAACTCAAGTCTACTTGACTGTACTGCGAACCACGGAAGACTTAGTTTTTTCCTCTTGACGGGATTACATTTTGTTTTGGAAACTGATTTTCCATATCTGTAGCAAAGATACATTAAATCAGCATTTGTTATCATTTCAATAAAGCATTTCTCCAATAATAGAGAATATCAAAATTAATTAAGACGTATTTTTCATCAGATATAAATTTCAGATGTTTCAAGGCTGAAATTAGCAACTATGTCTTAGTGTGACGTTGGAAAAAAATTTCAATTTTTTGTCACTTTTGGATAACTTTTCAATCTTTCCAAACCGGAGAGTATACAATTATTCCACAGATTTTAATAGCCTGAACTATTATAATTTAACAAATTTCATAGAAATGACTAGTCTTTCATCGGCACCAATAACGACTGACTGCTTTCAACATGAATTTCAGGTACTTTTGCGATCAATCTAATTTATTTACAAGCTGCATGATTTATAGGTTTCACGTGATTAGAAAAAATTGTGGAGCTAAACTTAAAGGAAAGTTCCAGAAAGAAAATGCCAACCATTGTTTATCATCACTAATTTCATTGGGATTCATTTGCATCTTTCGATAACTTTCTGAAAAGTTTAAAATGAATGCTCTAAGGTTCCTGAGTATTTACAAACTATTATGAATAGTGACTGTACATGTGTTAAAATATAATATCAATTGGTGCCTGAATAATCTGTAACCTTCACGTTTTCGTGAAGTTACCGTGAATGAAATCTTAGTGCAAGACTGCCAATCAAGCTAGGTTTTATGCAATTTTTTTGCTTAACCGAACAAAATAACTACATCTGAAGTTGAGCGGTTAGTCATTTTTCAGTACCAGTCATTGCCGCCCACTACAAGATTTAAAGGAGATCTACAATAGAATGAATAGTATTCGTTCTCAATCAGAAATATGATACAGTTTTGATGAATCTGTCAGTATGATCATCATAAATAGACTCTCTAGAATGATTTTATGAGTCAAATTACATACAATATCTTAGGTCAGGATTTGCGTTTGTTCGAATACGATTCGCCCAGGCGTTAGACCATGTTAACTCGATATTATACCAAAATAGACCTCGATGAGGTGTATCGGTTGTAATATTTATTTTTGTTCTAAGACTTTTGCTTTCAGAAGAAAAACTTGGATTGCTGCAAAAAAAGATCTAAAAAAGCACGCTACTTTAGAAAGCTGTTAGCGCAATCCCTTCGGGATTAAAAGTGTGAAACACTATGAAACTTCTTTTCTGGAATTCGTCTATTACTGTCACTGCTGGTCTGTGGAGCTTCTCTATTACGGTCTGTATTATGATGTATGGAGTTTCTAGAAACCATCACAGGCCGTTACAGAGAATTCAGAAATCATCACAGACTGTTACAGAGAATTCAGAAATCACCTCAGACCGTTACAGAGAAATTAATTAATAATTAATTAATTAACCAATTAACTGATTAACTAATTTCTCTGTAACGGTCTGTGGGGGGGGGGGGGGGTGGGGGGCCCCCGTGGG